CACGCATAAAAGTGAAACTCCGCCTATGATTGTGCTGTTACTCCTTTCGAGCCGAATTTCACAAAATTGGGTGTTAGTTATGGGAGTATAATTTTTTTTTTATTTCAATGAATGTAATCGATTAAATATCATAATATTTAGGTTATAATATTATAAATCAGGTTGGTTTGTATTGCTGACGTAATATGTAAATGATATGCGTGCGGCCCGCGAGACTTGCACTTGGACCATAGTGCGGCCCGGTGGAAAAAAAGGTTGAGAACCACTGTTCTACATGTTGGCCGGCCGCGAACTTGACCCCGCCCACAAACACATCATTCTACTGCCGACTGCTTCTCTAATCTCGGGGAGTTCGCTTGCTGTTGAAAGATGGATCAGTATCCTGTTTATTTGGACCAGCTGCTCCACTGAATCACAACCTGTATGTATGATAAATAATAGACGTTTATACTGTCTATAGAGCATTCAAAATACAGAACTGTTGAAATAGGTGTATTGTTTCCGACACGCGCTGTATGCCGTAGACCAATCACAACAGACTGGGCCATCTGACTAATCAGAGCAGAGCAGAATCATGGAAAGGCGGGGTTTAGAGAGACTGAATCTTTGAACTGCTCCGAACGAATCGTTTGAGAATCGCTGGAAAATGGGGTGATAATAAAAGCATATTTTGAGAAAACGAAAGCGTTTTTTGACCTTGCATGCATGTAATCCTATTGTAGGAGACTCCCAAAACAATATTAGGAACCGTAAAAATGGCATAATAGGGGCACTTTAAGAAAGCCCTTTAGAATTAGTTAGGTTTTTGAGTTCACATGACCCTTATCAGTTGTTTCTTAAACAAGACATGTTCTTGCTTTTAAAAACAGAAATTTGAGTCATCGTCTGAAACTATTATGTTGCTCAATACTCAACTCAATATTACTCACAAATATAATTTGCATTTGAGTACATTGCAACTTGCATCAGATTTTCCATCAAAGATTGGAGAAGAGGAATGTTGTTATTGTTAACAAAAGCTAAAACTAAATCTACTAAAAAAATTGTTTTGTTGATTGAAGTAAAGCAGAAAAATCTAAATAATGGATGAAAAACTAACTAACTAAATAAATAAATAAAATAAGTTTGTTACTAAAATTACTGACAATAAAACTTAAATAAAAATAAAGCTAAGTAGATATAACAAAATAAATATTTTAATAATTAAAATGAGAAATGTTGCCTTGGCAACTAAATAAAATAAAATAAGTTAAAATACTAAAGTCAATAAAAATAAAAATGAAGCTAAATAGAAATATTTATAAAAACCAATAAAAAATGACAAAAGCACATAAAACTAAAATGAAAAATATTTTGCAAGCATAAAAAAACATTAATATGAAAATATATAATAGTATAAATAACAGTTTGAGAGCTACTGGAAAGATATTCAGATTGAAATTTCCTGAGGGTGAATAAATGATTTCTCATTTTTTGGTGAACTATGTCAACGTCACAAGACGTTAATTGATGGACTGGAGTGGTGTGGATTATTTGTCGATTATTGTGATGTTTTTATCAGCTGTTTGGATTCTGACGGCACCCATTCACTGCAGAGGATCCATTGGTGAGCAAGTGATGCAATGCAAAATTTCTCCAAATCTGTTTCAATGAAGAACCAAACTCATCTACATCTGGCCTGAGGGTGAGTATATCTTCAGCAATTTTATGAATTTTTTTGGTAAAGTATTCCTTTAAGAAGAACAATCTATTGAACCCATTGAGACCGCATTATAATATTCATAACCACAGGCATACTGACCCAGAAATTGACCCAAACGAGCGCAAACATCACATCATTGTCAAAGAAGAGCGTCAAACTCTGACTAATGCAAATCGATTTCAATACACTGAAAACAGAACCACGCACACAAGAAGAAAGAGATGAAACGGTTGACAGGCAAAAACACCCACAGAGGAGTCTTCATTGATGTTGCCTTTATATTTATCGTCAAAAACATATTTCTGGCACATGCCCAACTAATTATTGGCTAATATATGTGCGGAGCTGCTGGGAAGACTGGCGGCTCTTCGTGTGGCGCCACT